GCTGCCCAGGCGGCCGTGGCTCCTTCCCGGCGGCACGTGCGCGCCGCTCCCGCCGCCTGCGGCTTCGCGCGGCTCCGCGGTGGGCACCGAGGTCCTAGAGACGCTTGCACTGTCGGGTCCTGATTCAGATACTAGACAGTCGGAATGAAAGGGCAATGGATGGGGAGGAATCGCGCTGAAAGGAACAGGTTCCTTTGGCCAAGGAGCGCCAGGGGAAGGAAGGGCCAGTTCTGACTTGAGACCCAGGACCTAGAATAGAGCTTCAAAGCATTGCAAGAAACAGATTTATTCTGATACCTTCTTGAGAGGTCAAGAGAACGACTGACACCTAGGATGAGGTCAAGAGTTCGCCTGGTTCTTATTTCTATTTTAACTGTTAACTAGGAGTATGAAATGGGACCTTTTCATTTCTCTGTGCCTCAGTTTTATCTTTAAAGTGGGTTAATAGAACCAACCACAGAGGACTATTTGCTATGTACAAAATTGTCGATAAAATGGCATTGGTTGTGATAAAAGTCACATTTGTCATTTTTCAAGAACTTGATAAAAGTGTTCAAACCAGCACTCCTTTAAATAGGCTACTGTGTACAATCCCATTGCTGCTTTTAAAACTTCTCAAATTTTAAACTATTGTCCCATCTTTCTCTAGGTCAGCTTTCCTTTTTTATATTGTGGAAATTCACCATGAGTTTTAATCTCTTGAGTCTTCCATTAAGAGGTGCCATAAAAAGATGAATGATGTAAACTTTCCAACACTGTAATTAGCTGACAGTTAAGTGATTTATTCAATAGAAGCTAGAAAAGTTAGAGTGTGCAAATAACTAAAAGGCTTCCTGTCCTTGATTCCAGGAACTAGAATTACTAAAGCTGGCAAGTCTACATGGCTATTATCTCTCTCTTCCAGCTGGTGAAAATTGACACCAAAAAACTGGGTGCTATGAGGAGGAATAGAAGGAGGAGATAGGGTCACAGGGGGGATAGAAGGAGGAGTCAGGGTCACAGGAGAGATAGGAGTCAGGCACTTCTTGGGGCCAAAACTTTAATAGCTGTAAATAGATTATGGTTTAGGTGGTCACTAAGGCTCCTTCTAAGCCTCAAACGTTACAGTCTATGTACACTTTACAAGGAAATACAAATTAACACTTCCCTTATAAATCTTCATTCATTTAAGCCAGGTTGTGAGATAATTTGTGAAATGGTTTATTTTCATGACTCTAAAATATGGGCAATTTCCTCCCTGGAAATTTGCAGCCTCTGAAATCCTGCTATGAAACAGTTTTCATTCCAGAGGAATACTTCTGAGGTTTTGATCCAACCCTGGTATAAGTAGTTAAAGCTCTCTAAAATATGAATGGGAGATTTAAAAAAAAAATGGCTTGATGAGTCATGAAAAGCTTTCTCAACATTAAGCCACTCACTGGCACAAATCGACTGCTAGGGACCTCTTCAAAGTACTACAGAGCAAGTATGTTGCCTTGAGGTCTAAAGTGAATCTGGCCCTAACCACGATGTTTTCAATCACTATGGAATGCATGTAAAAATTGGACAATGAGTAAAGAAGGCCAAAGAAGAATTGCTGCCTTTGAATTGTGAAGTTGAAGATCATTTCATATACTACAGACTTTTAAAAGAGCAAACATCTTCAAAAAAGCGCAGTCAGAATGCTCCTTAGAAACAAAGATAGTGAGACTTCATGATGCATACTTTGGGCCTGTTATCAGGAGAGGCTGGTCCATGGTGAAGAAGCAGCTACATGCTTAGGAAAAAAGAAATCACCAGTGAGATGGATTGGCACAATGGCTGCAACAATGAGCTTAAGCACAGGAGAGATGTGAAAGATAGTACCGGCTTAGGCAGTGTTTGGTTCTGTTGTACATAGGTCATTATGAGTCAGAGCCTCTCCAACCACCTAATAATAACAAATGCTTCTCCAGAAGTTAGAGTGCTCAGGTGGATCTTCTGAGCTTTTGACCAGCAGGAGCACCTCTTCATGCAGCTTTGTAGCTTCCACCAGAGTGCTTTCTTCATTATTGTTGTGTGCCTTCAAGTAGGAACTGACCCATACCTAACCCTCCAGCAGACTGTCAGAAACAGTAAATCACATGAGAGGAGTTTGTTCATCCTTCACCCGTACAGCATCTGGTGGATTCAAACTGAGTACATTTCATATTGCAGTGCAACTTCTTACCACTAGGTCACCAAAGCTTTGTATATACATGTTGTTGGGAACTGTCAAGTTGGAATTGACGCATAGCTGCCCCTCCAGTGGGTTTTCAAAGGCAGATAATTGCACTGGAGGAGATTGCCCATCCTTAATTTATATTTACTGACTGAAATTGCCACAAGATTGAGTTCTCATTACTTAAAAAGGACTCCAAGAGCCACAGAGACACTCAAGAGATGTTGTTCAACATAGAAATACCGTATAACTCAGCTATTCCACTGCTTGGAATATACCCTGAAAAAATCAGAACTAAGACACAAATGAAGATTTGTACACCAATGTTCAAAGCAGTGTTATTCACCATCATCGCAAGACCATGGAAACAGCCCAAATGCCCAACCACAATTGAATGGATTGAGAAATCATGGTACAGTCACACAATGGAATACTGTGCAGCATACAGGAGCATTGATTCTGGAAATCACTACCTAACTTGGGAGGGACTGGAGAGCATTATGTTAAGTGAACTAACTTAGTCCCATAAGGACAAATATTGTATGAGACCATTATTGCAGAACGTGTATGAGGATCCAAGGGGGGGAAGCAAAGGGAATCGGCTGGGGTTGGGGGGTGTAATCATAGGGTCACACAATTTGATGGGTAGAGGGAAGGGTGGGTAAAGGAAATGGGAAAGATCTGGTAGTATAAAAAACAATGTATATGAACTTTAAACCAGTATAAATAAAAATTTTATTTAAATAAAGCTAAAAAAAGAGGAAGACGCTCAAGATGGATTGATTCCGTGACTGGGGTAATGGGAGCAGGTGTATCAGAATAAGATTGGCACAACATAGAACAGAGTTTAGGGCTGTTGAACATAGAGTCACAGGCAATTTAACAGCACATAACAACAACTTGTTCAAGGGACATCACTGCAGGTGTAATAGACAAGAATCTTATAACCACTGGTAAATGAACTAAATCAATTTAGATTTGACAACACTAGCCACAAGGCTCTTACCTGGCAGAATCAAGTTAAAATTTCAAGCACTAATTTTTCCATAAATGATATGGTAGTTGAGGGGGGGAAATTATTTTGCACTCAGTTATGAGAACCATTTGCTTATTAATATAATAATTAATATCTGACTAGTTTTAACAAAGTTCAAGACTCCATTAATTCCCTCAATCAAATTGTCAGCCTTAGTATAAAACCTGCATTGCTATTCTGTTGTTGAAAATAATATTATTTCAAGACCTATAATTTTTATTATCAGGCTTCAAACTACCAGCATAAGATAGATTCCCTCTTTCTTGTCTTCCACTCTAGCTACTTTGTCCCTAGGTTCATGCTTGATATATGGTTGTGGTTGTTGTTGTTATTGCTGATTGCCTTCAAGTTGAGCACGACTCATAGCGATCCTATAACCAAAAGACCTGAAGCCCCTCTACAACTATCAACATTTATCAAAGTTCATAGAGTTTGCAGAGGCATGTTGTTTAGGAAGTGCATGCCACTCCTGTTTCCAAATCTGTCATAGTATGTTATTATAATGTGCCATTGAGTCCTCTGAAATGTACAGCGACTCTATGTACAGCAGCTCTGAGCCCTTCCCTGTCCTGAGCCAGTCTCACTAATTCCCACACCCCAACCCCCATTGCCCCAGTTACGCTATCAATCCATTTCATCCAGGTCTCCCTCTCCTGTGCTGTCCATCCACCTTTCCGAGCATGATGTAATTCTCTAAGGACTGATCTCTCCTGGCCATGTGCCCAAAGTAAGTGAGGCAGAGCTTCAAAATCCTAGCTTCCAAAGAGAGACTTGGTTTCACCTTCTCCAAGACAGACCTATTTGTTTTCTTGGCAGTCCATGGTATGCTCAAGACTCTTCTCCATCGTTGTTTTTCAGCACTCTGGAGAGATATATGATATGCAAAGTCCTCCTATATTTGTAGAATGGTGAATACAGAATTTCTGTCAAAGAATATCAAGGAAACAGAGATGTAATCCTCTTTCTCTTAATTAGGAATAGTTAAATTTTTTCTTAAAGGGAAAGATATCCCAAACTATGCTGTTCAGTTGGTTTTGGCTCGTACAGACCCTATAGGACAGAGTAGAACTGCTCCACAGGGTTTCTGAGGCTACAGATCTTGATAGGCAAGGGCTTTGTCTTTCTTCTGTGATGCAGTTGATGGGTAGCAGCCCAGTTCTTAACCATCAGTGTCAGGTGGGCTTCTGTTAGCCTGATGATAGCAGATATTTAACAGCACTTTGGAGATGAATGAACTACTGAGGGACTATATAGGTTCTCCACGCATCTCTGGTTTAGGACACAAAAAGAGACCAACCAACCAAAACCAAAATCTACAGTTGTCAAGTCACTTCTGATTCATAGCCATCCTACAAGATAGGAGTAGAACTGCCCCATCGGTTTCCAAGGCTGTAAATTTTTGCAGAGCATGTGGTGGATTTGGATAACCCATCTTGCTATTAGCAGCCACGCCTTTAATCACTGTACCACCAGGGCTTCTAAAAAGGCACCAATGGAAAGGAAAAGCAGGGTAGATGTGAACTGCCCAAACTTTGATGCCCAAACATAGATAACCTTCAACAGAACATAAAAGCTTTATGCCATGAGATGTTTTGACACAACATCCACACAATCATTGTTGTTG